CCTGCCAACGCAGGGGATGTGGGTTCGAGCCCTGGTCCAGGAAGATGCCACATGCCACGGAGCAACTAAGCCTGTGCACCACAACTACTGAGCCTACGCTCTAGAGACCGCGTGCCACAACTACGGAGCCCGCGTACCACAACTACTGAAGCCCACGCGCCTAGAGCCCACGCTCCACAACAAGAGAAGCCAGTGCAATGAGGAGCTGTGCACTGCAACGAAGAGTAGCCCCTGTTTGCTGCAACTAGAGAAAGCCCGCGTGCAGCAAGGAAGACCCAACGCAGCCAAAGATAAAATAAATAAAATAAAATAAATTAAAAAAAAAAAGATCTGCACCTGTAAACAACAATAGGTCCAAGAGACTTCATGGCAATGGCAAATTCTACGGACATTTGCAATTTATATAAGCAGTGTCAGAGCATAGTAAAAATACATTTTAAAATCCTAAATAAAATATTTGCATATGAAGTCCTGAATTTATCAAAAGAACATTACATCATAAGCAACCAGAGTTTGTCTTAAGAATGCTAAAAAGGCTCAACATTAGAAAATCCATTAATATATGTTATTACATTAACAGATTAATATAGAAAATTTATGTGATCATCTCAATAAATGCCAAAATACCATTTGCTATAATGTCACCTGATACATGAACAATGAGAACTACAACAAAACTCTTCAAATTATTTAATAATCTCAAAAAATGGGAGTCCTAAGTAAGACATGATATCCAGAAGCCATTAAATAGGAGACTCATACATTTTACTACATTATAATATATGCTGGGCTAAAATATGGTATACACCACACCAATGCAAGATGTTAATAACAGGAGAAACTGTGGGCAGTGAGAATAGGGGGAAGAGTGGGTATATGAGAACCGTCTGCTTTCTGTTCAATTTTTTATAAGCCTAAAAGTGTTCTAAGAAATAAAGTCTATTAACATAAAATATATATGTATATCTATGTATATGTACATATATCAACAAAGAGGAACAAACAACAACAAACTACAGAAGACACTTGTAACACATCTATCTCATTTTTTTTTTTTAATTTTTTTTTTATGGTACGCGGGCCTCTCACTGTTGTGGCCTCTCCCATTGCGGTGCACAGGCTCCGGATGCGCAGGCTCAGCGGCCATGGCTCACGGGCCCAGCCGCTCCGCGGCATGTGGGATCTTCCCAGACCGGGGCACGAACCCGGATCCCCTGCAGCGGCAGGCGGACTCTCAACCACTGCGCCACCAGGGAAGCCCTCTATCTCATATTTTGTTAGTGAAATTGCAAGCTGAAGCACGGCTTCTTTTAGAAACTTTGAATTAAAATTAAAAATCCACATGCTCTTTAGTTTAACAAGTTTATTTTTATGAGTTTAACATATAGAAATACTCATAGATGAATACAAATGTTTACCTATAAATGTGTTTGTTCCAGATTGTTTATAGTAGGAAGAGACTGAAAACTGAGTAAATGGCCATCAAAAGATTCTAGGGACTATGACATATCCCTGAAATGAAATACCAGGCAGTCATGTTTTTGAAAAAGAAGTAGATTTATAAGCACTGATGTGGAATGACATTTTCAAAAGTGTAGTTGGTAGTGCTGTGGCAGAAAGCAACAGTGGCATGGAACAATTGGTGTTTGTTAAGGGTGTGTGTGTGAGAGAGAGAGAGAGACAGAGACAGAGACAGAGAGAATCCATGCAGAGCCTACCTAGAGAAGGATGCATATAAAAAAATGTCAACAGGCAGATGAATGGATAAAGAAGATGAGGTTCATATATACAATGGAATATTACTCAACATAAAAAAGAATGAAATAATGTCATTTGCAGCCACACAGATGGACCTAGAGATTATCATACTAAATTAAGTCAGACAAAGACAAATACCATATAATATCACTAATATGTGGAATCTAAAAAAACGATACAAAGAACTTATTTACAAAACAGAAACATAGACATGGAAAACAAACTTATGGTTATCAAAGTGAGGGAGGGATAAATTAGGAGTTTAGGATTAGCAGATACAAACTACCATATATAAAAAGCTAAATGACAAGGTCCTACTGTATAGCACAGGGAACTATATTCAATATCTTGTAATCAACTATAATAGAAAAGAATATACATATACATATAAATTTACATATGACTGAATCACTTTGCTGTACACCAGAAACTAACACAACACTGTAAATCAACTATACTTCAATTAAAAAAAATAATAACTTAAAAAAAAAAAAGGTGACAGAACCGGTGCTGGGAGAGAAAATGGGGACTGGAAGTCTGGGATGTGAGGGAAATTATTTTTCACTGTTTATTTTTATTTTCTTTGAAATTTTCCCACGTACATATACTTAAAAATATATATCTTAGGGGGAAAAAAAACCAGGAAACTATGAATGTAAGAGAATATTCTTAATTAGATATAGGTTATCTATCTCAAACCCACAACAACAGTCAGACATCAGAGTGACACATTAGAATCAGTCCCATTAAATTCAGACATAAAATAAGGATATGTACTATTTGTGCTAATATTCAAATTGTATCCGGTGCAATAAGATGAGGGGGAGGTATAAATGCTAGAAATGATAACAATTATCACTTTCACAAATGGTATAATTATCCACATAGAAAATCCAAAAGAACCAACTGAAAAATTATTCGAACTTTTAAATTTTATTAGAATATTTTTTATGTATTGTAAGTTTATCCAGGTAGTCAAATAAATATAAGATTCATGTACAGAAATCAGTAGCTTCTTTATGCATCAGACAAAACCAACCTAAAACTGTAACTTAAAAACACACACACACACACACACACACACACGCATTCAAGATAGCCACATTTCAAAATATACAGGAATAAACACAGAAAAGAAACATACCATACTTATGTAAAAAAAGTTATAAAGCTTTACCAAAGAACATAAAATAAGATTTGAATAAATGGGGAGATACACCATGGTATAAAGATGTCGACTCTCCTATAAATTAATATCTAAATTCAGGAAAGTTCCTATCAAATTGCCAGTGGATTTACGTGACAAGCTTATTCTAAAATTCATCTATAAGAAAAATATTTAAATAGAAACAAGAAAATTTTGATAAAGAATGATGGTGACATTGCTCATTTAAAGGGCAATATAAATGGCCCCTGAGTGGGAAAAGATGGCCAACTTCACTAATAATCAGAGAAATGCAAAATAAGAAAATAACAAGATACCATTTTTTGTCCTTAAATATCCTGAAATATCTAAAAGATAATTTGAGGGGGGAGAGAAACAGAAACGCACAGATACTGTAGATGGAAGTTTAATTGGTCCAGTCTGTTTTGAAGGTGGTTTGGCGGTGTTTATTAATACTCTGTGCCTACGGGCCAACTTGGCACTAAGAAGGTAACTTTCAGAGATGACTCCAGAGCACATTTAAACATGCACCCAAAGAGCCCGATAAAGCATGTTCATGTAGCACCATGTCTGACAGTCAAAAATTAGACACAATTCAAAGGCTCATTAGTAAGATAGTTTTTTAAAACATGGTACATCCATATTAGGGGATACAGTGCAGTAGTTTATTCATACTGACACTGCAAGAACTTCAAGATCAGTTATGTACTCCAAGAACATATGTATTGTGTAACACAGTTTATGTTCAAAATTTGTATGTATTAATAGTTATGCACATGCGTGTGATTGTAAAAGCACAGAATAAAAACAAATGGTTAGGGACTTCCCGGGTGGCACGGTGGTTAAGAATCTGCCTGCCAATGCAGGGGACACGGGTTCGAGCCCTGGTTCGGGAAGATCCCACATGCCACGGAGCAGCTAAGCCTGTGCGCCACAACTACTGAGCCTGCGTGCCACAACTATTGAAACCTGCATGCCTAGAGCCCATGCTCTGTAACAAGAGAAGCCACCACAGTGAGAAGCCTGTGCACTGGAAGGAAGAGTAGCCCCTGCTCGCCACAACTAGAGAAAGCCCGCGTGCAGCAACGAAGACCCAACACAGCCAAAAATAAATAAATAAAATAAATTTAGGCCGCATAGCACAGGGATATCAGCTCGGTGCTTTGCGACCGTCTGGAGGGGTGGGATAGGGAGGGTGGGAGGGAGGGAGACGCAAGAGGGAAGAGATATGGGAACATATGTATATGTATAACTGATTCACTTTGTTATAAAGCAGAAACTACACACCATTGTAAAGCAATTATAGCCCAATAAAGATGTTAAAAAAAAAATGATTAGCTTACTTCTGGAGACAGGACAAGGATTAGAGATGTGGTGAAATCAAAGGGGACTCCTGCTTTCTCTGTTTGTTTGAAATTTCAAGATGAAAATGTAAGCCTATATTAATTATGTAATTTAAAACCTCTCCCAAAAGTTAATGTGGCAATTTCAAAATTTAAACACATTTTTGTTTAAAACACATTCACTTAAAATGTGTATGTCAGGGCTTCCCTGGTGGCACAGTGGTTGAGGGTCCGCCTGCCGATGCAGGGGACACGGGTTCGTGCCCCGGTCCGGGAAGATCCCACATGCCACGGAGTGGCTGCGCCCGTGAGCCATGGCCGCTGAGCCTGCGCGTCCAGAGCCTGTCGCTCCGCAACGGGAGAAGCCACAGCAGTGAGAGGCCCGCGTACCGCAAAAAAAAAAAAAAAAAAAAAAAGTGTATGTCATCACGTATCTTTATTTTATAAGGACCTGAATATTTTTCAACCTTATTAAAACCTTATTAAAACCATAAGGTGGGGGAGTGGTAACATTACCTGTTGCCTTTCTGGTTTCTCTATATAAGGACTTTATGTTTCTTTATGTTATCACTGCAAGAAAACTTCACCTCAGCATTGAGGCACATACAGTCTATATTCTCTAATCCTAAACAAATCTTATGTCAAACTTCAGTGCTGGATCAGAAAATACATACTTTTAGAATGTGCGATGAAATAACAATATTGCAAAACTCATCAGGAATCTTCTGGAAGGGTTAGGGCTCCAGTGGAGAACCGGCCTTTTTGTTAATCATGAACCTTACTTTTGGATTCTTTTTCAAATACTCTGTATAGCTTTGCTGGGGAATAAATTTAAAAGTGTTCTGTAACTCATTATAATGTCTTGGAAAGCGTCTGAAAATTGGGACCACCACAGCTTCCTGACAGACATATGATATTTGGTTATTTGAAAAGCCATCGAGACAAGATGGAACATAGTCACATGCCCAAAGATTGAAATTTCTTGAAATGTGTTGCCTTTTTTCTGAGGAGATCTTCTTACGTCCCAGGCCCTGGAGAAGAATCACAAGAAGGTTAGGAGAAAAATATTCAAGGTCACACAGTTTAGATGTCTTTAGTAAAACCACCTTCATGACATCCTATCTCTAAATGCACAGTATGACCACCCTTACAAGAGACATCCTTTATCAACCTGTTGAAGGCTATAAATTGACACTCACAACATCCTGGTTCTCAGAGCCTTCCACTCCCACCAAGAGGACTGGACTTCTGGAGACATGGAGGGCAGAACCGGAGAGACCACAGCCTGGACCCCCTGGGACCCCAAGTAGGTTCTCTGCACCCAGGTGGCTCCTCAGCATATCCACCCCAGGCTGCATCTCCAGCACTCAGTGGGATGGTTCTTACACTGAGAGATCCAAAGATTCTTTCCTATCCCAGAGGATTCCCAATGAAGAAAGCAGCACCTTTGGGTCTCTGATCACAGGCTCCCTCAACTCTTACTAATGTGGCCATTAGAAAATTTTAAATTACATATGCGCTCGCAATCTCTTTTCGTTGCCCAGTGCTTTGTTAACCACCACTAACCAGTGCTATCAGACTTTATTTTCTTCAGTGATGGGGAAACACCACCTCTGGAGAAAAGACAACTGCAGTTATTAGGAAGTCCTTCTTTATATCATGTAAGCTCCCCATCCATTCCTTTGACTCCTCATGGATCCTGGCTCTGCCATCCAGAGACACACATAGGCAATCCGTCCTTCCCATGATAGACTTTCACAAGAAAGCTCACAAATGAGACAGTTGATGGGAGAGCACATTGATGAGCATGAAATTCATAGAAACCTAGGCAGAAGGAAGGCTGGTGCAGATTCTGAAAGCTACGTGGGACTCTGAGAATTTTATGCTTTTTTCCCCCCTGGTAACCTGTTATGAGGCTTTAATCTTGTCCCAATTTTGAGGTCAGTCCTCAATCTTCAACATGTCTCAGAAAATCAAGAGCCCTAATGTCGCTTCTCATTTTATTAGCAACTTGGAGAGAAATACTCACAGAGTCGAGGTAGAATCCAGAGTTCTGATAGCTGTGACGATTGTCATGTACAGAGAAGGGGAAGTTGTTATTTACTGCTTGCTGGAAAAGAGCAAGGGAAGAGATAAAAAGGCAACACATCAGAGCCCACCTACCGTGGCATGGAAGGAAGACGGAGGAGGCAAAGTCACCTCTAAGTAAGAATTAAACCCATCAGGGCTTCCCTGGTGGTGCAGTGGTTAAGAATCCACCTGCCAATGCAGGGGACACGGGTTCAAGCCTTGGCCCGGGAAGATCCCACATGCCTCAGAGCAACTAAGCCCGTGCGCCACAACTACTGAGCCCACGCGCCACAACTACCGAAGCCCGCGCGCCTAGAGCCCGTGCTCCGCAGCAAGAGAAGCCACTGCAATGAGAAACCCGCGCACCACAAGGAAGAGTAGCCCCGCTCGCCGCAGCTAGAGAAAGCCCTCGCGCAGCAACGAAGACACAAAGCAGCCAAAAATAAACAAAATAAATAAATTTATTTTAAAAAAAGAAGAATTAAATCCATCGACAGCGATGGCACACACGGCACAGGGTGAGGTCTTGGGTGTGTGCATCAGCTCAAGGCTTTGAAACTCAACCTTATTGCCAGCTTGCTGAAAATCATAAAAAAAATTCTCTTTGAAACATCTTATTGAGAGACAAGGAAGGGAAAGTCTGTAGGCATGGAATTGAAAGCTGGAAAAAGATTTTGAGGCCATCTTCTTCTTCTGCCCAAAAAGGATCCTAGTGGACTGGAGCTCTCTGGTCCAGGGCGGCCAAAGGTGAAGTTAACCCTGTTTCTCCCTCTGGCCCCTTCATGCCCCTAAAGTTGCTCATGAACTGGCCAGCAAGGAAGAACGTGCATGTTAAGAACTCTGTCCATAGGGTGGTCCAGTGGTTAAGACTTCGCCTTCCAATGCAGGGGGTACAAGTTCAGTCCCTGGTCAGAGAGCTAAGATCCCACATGGCTCACGGCCAAAAAAACCCCGAAAACATAAAACAGAAGCAATATTGTAACAAATTCAATAAAGACTTTAAAAATGGTCTACATCCAAAAAAAATCTTCACAAAGAAAAGAAAAGAACTCTGTCCATAGAGGAGCCTAACTTTATTGTGTCTGGACCAGAGGTATTTCCTTCTAAAGACTATCTGAGGTATCATACTGACCAGTGTATGAGGTAGGATGCTACCAGAATTTAGGGGTCCAGGGAGGGCAAGTGAGCAGTTCCCTCTGGCAAAGAGTTGTCTGGTGCCAGCGGTGGCACCCCCTGAAGAGCCAGGGGGGCGCGTGGGCAGCTCCCGGGACTCGCCTTCTCCCGCACTTTGTACATCAGTGGTAGCTTCTCCTGCACTTGCTGAGATAAACGTGGACTCTTGGACTCTTTTAACATATGGTATGTGTGATGGATTCTGGTGTCTTTTGCATTAGTCCAATGTGAGGGAACTGGAAAAACAGCACACGCCTTGATTAAAACCAGACACGTCTGAATCTCTAAGCCAAGTATCAGGGCTTCCTCTGTAAAGGGATTAAAATGCAATTTGGGTGCTTCTGGCAGGCGATGGAAATGGCATAATTTTTGTAATTTTCAAGTATTCTTTCCAAGACAAAAAATATTGTCATGGCCCGAGGCCACCACTGCCGGTTGTTTCAAGTTACAGGGGCCACCCTGCCGCTCGGAGCCTGGAAATGTTTCCGAGGCCTGGTGAGGAGGGTGTGGCCCCGTGAGAGGGAGTTGATGTGCTCTGAGGAGACAGGATGCATTATTTGAGATCCTCCTTGTGGTAAGGGAGCTCTCTGCACTTGGGGCCAAGGATTCAGCCCATGTTCACAGGGGTGAGCCAACCTCCTGCGGGTATAAAGGGGACCTTAGGACAAGGGGAAGGGGAGGAGAGAAGGGTCACGTAGAGTCTCCATGGAGAATGGAGAACGGTAGAGGGTAGGAAGATTATTTGGATGGCTGGGGGTGGGCTTTAGTATCTCTCTATGAACAGAAGGGAAGGAAGCAGGACTGGGCCTAGGGAGGCAGTCCCAACAAAGGCCTGGACCAACCCCACAGGGAGCTCTAGACATGGATGCCTTCTCAGAGTCAGCCTGATGGAGTGAGAGGACTGGGCCCTCGTGAGCCTTTGTCAATCAGTCACTGGGCAGAAGAGGACGGTGGGGACCCAGGAAGTGACCTTGGGGCAGCAGCTCTTTTCAGCCAAGCACTATCTAGGGGTGGGCCTCCCAGGCCACACCTTCAGCAGCTGCACAAGTAGTCCATTCCTGAATTCCCCCTGAAGAGGCATGCGAGTGGTGCTTGACAGCCACTGTAGCTCCCCCCAATTTTATATAAACAGCGCCTCTTAAAAGCCACCCCAACAAAGTGGACTTCGAAGCAGGGATCTCAAGGAGAGGAATAGGAATGGAAACTACAATACAAACAGAAGGCAAGACCCTGACTCATGGTGAAAATTCCTGAAAAGGGAGGAAGCATAATGTGGTGGGTCACAAACAGTAGATTCAAATGCCCTGAGACCAATCCCAGCTCTCTCTCCCACGACGTCAGCCTTCCACAAGAGACTTAATTTTCCCAGGCCCCAGTTTCTTTATCTGTAAAATGGAAATAACAATACTTATTTGATAAGGTAGATGTGATTAAGGGAGAAAATGCACGCACCCAGCGAGTGTTCAATAGCTGTTGGCAGGTTCTATTTTTGCTCACAGCTGTCCCCTCCCTTGTCACCAAACCCATTGTCACACCCAAAGCCAGTCCTTCCTTCTCTTTGGGATTATAATGATATTAGCTAACACTGCCACTCTCTCCCATTCCTTCTCAAGTCATGATATAACTGCACAGATAAGTATGGCTTTTGTTTAATTTCTGCACAAGAGTGTGTTTAGTATGCTACTATTTATGTCAAAAGGTAGAGAGATTATGTCATCTATGTGGTATATTTGGTGGGGCATTGTTGGCAGAGAAAAGGAGAACCAATTGTCCAGATGACACATAGCCTCAGAGAGATCTTGTAATCTCAGTGCTGAGTGGAAAGAAGAAACAAAATGAGATCTATAACCCAACACTATTTATGTAAATAAATAATCCATGCACACAAAACAACAATACATAATTTACAAAAACCCATCTCAGTAAAAGAACTCCCATTATACACGCGTGAATAGCTGCCTGTGGGGTGAGCAGAGTAGGAACAGGGATCAAGGGCAAGGAGACAACCACACAAATCAACACACCATCATGTGGACGGGCTCTTCCATGGCCAAGCAACAGGGTCACCTCAGAGGAGGGCACCAGGGAAAGAAGAAGACTTTTGCCATCGTTTATATGTTTCTTAATGAAGTGCATCTATTAATTGTCTCGTTTTCCCAACAAAAATAATTGTATTTGTTTCTGATTAGAGTTATAATACATGCTTATGGTTTTTAAAAGTTCAAACAATAAAGAAAAACATAAGGAAGGAAGTAGAATTCCCCTGAAAACCCATCCCTCTTTCCCCTTACCTCCTTTTTTTTTTTTTTGGCTGTGTTGGATCTTCCTTGCAGTGCGCGGGCTTCTCATTACGGTGGCTTCGCTTGTTGCAGAGCACGGGCTCCAGGCATGCAGGCTTCAGCAGTTGTAGCATGCAGGCTCAGTAGCTGTGGCACACGGGCGTAGTTGCTCCGCAGCATGTGGGATCTTCCCATACCAGGGCTCGAACCTGTGTCCCCTGCATTGGCAGGCGGATTCTTAACCACTGTGCCACCAGGGAAGTCCTCCCCTTAACTCTTTGGTGACCAAATTCGTCATGCATCCTTGTGCAACTGTACACCCATATGTAAGCATAATTTGCACATATAGGATCGTATTATAAATGTGGCTTCAAAAATTATAAATTTATAAATGTGACCATTTTATTTATTTTTCTGATCTCTGTTTTATTTTTTTATTTGAATTTTATTTATCTATTTTTTATACAGCAGGTTCTTATTAGTTACCTACTTCATACATATTAGTGTGTATATGTCAATCCCAATCTCCTAATTCATCCCCCAACCCCCACCCACCCTGCTTTCCCCCCTTGGTGTCCATATGTTTGTTCTCTACATCTGTGTCTCAACTTCTGCCCTGCCAACTGGTCCATCTGTACCATTTGTCTAGATTCCACATATATGCGTTAATATATATTTGTTTTTCTCTTTCTGACTTACTTCACTCTGTATGACAGTCTCTAGGTCCATCCACGTCTCTACAAATGACCCAATTTCGTTTCTTTTTACGGCTGAGTAATATTCCATTGTATGTATGTGCCACATCTTCTTTATCCATTCATCTGTCGATGGACATTTAGGTTGCTTCCATGTCCTGGCTATTGTAAATGGTGCTGCAATGAATATTGGGGTGCGTATGCCTTTTTTTTTTTTCTTTCTTTTTTTGCAGTACGTGGGCCTCTCACTGCTGTGGCCTTTCCCGTTGCAGACGCACAGGCTCAGCGGGCTCCGGACGCGCAGACTCCGGACGCGCAGGCTCAGCGGCCATGGCTCACGGGCCCGGCCGCTCCGCAGCATGTGGGATCTTCCCGGACCCGGGCACGAGCCCGTGTCCCCTGCATCGGCAGGCGGACTCTCAACCACTGCACCACCAGGGAAGCCCCGCGTATGCCTTTTTGAATTACGGTTTTCTCAGGGTATATGCCCAGTAGTGGGATTGCTGGGTCATATGGTAATTCTATTTTTAGGTTTTTAAGGAACCTCCATAGTGGCTGCACCAATTTACATTCCCACCAACAGCGCAGGAGGGTTCCCTTTTCGCTACACCCTCTCCAGCATTTGTTGTTTGTAGATTTTCTGATGATGGTGGGAGGTGATCCCTCATTGTGGTTTTGATTTGCAATAAATGCCTTTTTATAATTTAATAGTAACTTTTGGTTTCTGTTTCCTTCCCCTTCTTGTCACCCCCATCAACACCCCAGATAACAGTGATAACCATAGTAATGACAATAGCTCTCGTATGATCCTTTACAAACACCCGTACCTACAAAAGGGACTTACACTGCTTTATAAAAATTGGACCATATGATACATACTATTTTACAGCTTGCTTTTCTCACTTAACAATATACCCCAGAAATTTTTCAAAATCAACCTATACATTTCTAATTCATATATATTTTTCTAATTCATTATATATTTTTTAATGTTTTTAAACAATTTTTAAGTAAATACAAATAATACGGAGGGCCTCCAGACTCAGAACCTTTCCCTTTTCCCCTCCTCCAATCTGATTTTACAGGTTATGGAAAATCAGGCCAAGGTGGAGAGTTTTTCTACATCACGAAGGATCCCTCTCACCAGCTAAATGACAACTGACTTGAGTTCATTTGTATTCTGCAAGTCTGTGGACTAAATCACTGTAAAAAAAAAAAAAAATGGCTCTAGCATTTTAATTTCACTCTTTTAAAATATATACTTAATGGCTATAACATGATAGCTGTGAAATAAACCCTTCTGTTAGATATTGTAACCGTGAAATACAGCTTTTTAACTAGTTGGCAGTGAAATTTTTGCTGCATTCAATCACTCAATGACTGAAATATTAAATAGGAAGGTGAAAGTGTGTGCAGAGAGCCTTTTCTACCTAGTAACAGCCAGGTTACCACCAGCAAGGTCAACTGCGAAATGACTGTCACCTCCAGTGTGGCAATTAGCCTCCCAAATGGGCTGCTGCTGATGCAAAGCCAACAATTTCTTTAATTTTTCCCAACAATTTACTTTGGGAAACTTCACGTCAGCACTATTCTTTTTATGCTCTTAGGTGCCGGCAGCAGAAAGGACCCACACCAAAGGCTCCCCACTTAAACTGGGCCCAGGTACATTCCTGGGACACCAATAGGAGATGCAACATTCTTTCTCGATTTCTGCCTTGTAACAGAACTCTGACTTTGTTTGGGGTGGCAATGTGGTTGGTTAAAAAATACCTCCCAAACTCCCTTGCAGCTAAATTGGCCATGTGACCAGTTGAAATGAAAGCAGAAGTCTGTGGGTGGGGCTTGTGGGAAAGAGATTGTTTCCCCTAGAAAAAGGGGCAGACTTAGCTGACAGCTGCCTTCCATCTATTTATCCGTTGACTTTCCTCTTTCCGGTAAATCCGTTGATTTACCTGCCTGAGTTGACACACTGCACTAAGGATGACAGGACAGGAGGCTGAAAAGAACCTGGGCCTTTGACAACGCCCTAGGGCATCTGTACCAGCCCTGAACTGCCTCCCTCTGGACTGATTGTTACTAGAGAAACACAGACCGCTGTCTGGATAAGGCACAGTAGTCAGCTTTTTATAATATTCAGTCAAACACAGCCCTAACTGATACTGTAGGTGATAAAAAGAGGCCAAGCTATTTAGTCTGAGAAGCTTATGTCGTCTCTTCCTAACCAATTAGTGTATGTAGTTCACGTTATTTCCCATTTTACTTTGGCTGCCAGGGAACTCAGAGTCAAATGTTATATCCAAATAGCTACTGTTTAGGCCATATGGCCTGCATATCTATGTGACATATTTTCCCAGTCTCAGCCTCTTAAAGTATATTTAAACTGGTTCTGAATTCCTATTTTTATATACTTTACTACTTTATTGTGAATATTTTCCATTCATTACTTTAAATCTGTGAAATGGAGCACGGTATACAAGAAAGAATATCAGTATAAATATATATCCCTTGGAATCTGTGGGGTATTGGTTCCCCCCATCCCACCCTGTGGGTACCAAAATCCAAGGATGCTCAGGTCCCTTAGTTGCCCTTCAGTATCCGTGGGTTCTGCATGGTGGACATATATATATTACATATATACATATGTTATATATTATCTATATAATAGTTAGCAAGTATTGAGTGGTTACTATGTTTCCATTGCATTATACTAAGCACCTTTGTATGAATTATCTCATTAATCCCCACCATGGCCTCTAACCTTAGTACATTATGCTCCCATTTAACAGACAAAGAGACTGAGATTTATAAAGACTAAGTTGCTTAGGTTTTTTTTTTTTTTTGGCGGTACATGGGCCTCTCACTGTGGCCTCTCCCATTGCGGAGCACAGGCTCAGCAGCCATGGCTCACAGACCCAGCCACTCCGCGGCATGTGGGATCCTCCTGGACCAGGGCACGAACCCGTGTCCCCCGCATCAGCAGATCGACTCCCAACCACCGTGCCACCAGGGAAGGCCTGCTTAGGGTTTTTAAAGCCTTCAGGCCCAAATTTTCCAAGATGTTTTCCATTTTTCTTTTTCCTTTCAAACAAACAAATTAAAAAAATTTTTCTATGTATTACTGCCCTAGAAGAGGCTAGTACCACTATTTTCTCTGATACAACCAGTGGGGAAAAGAAAAGACAAAGATAACCAGCCTCATGGAGTTTATATAATAAATTATATAGTATGTCAGAAGACAGATGTTATAGAAAAGAGAAAAAGCAGAGCAAACACCAATTACTGCTTAGTGAACAGTCACAAGTTGCCAGCCTGCTGAGCGTTTTACACTCAGATTAATTTCATTTGATTGTCCCAAGGATACTATGAGATTCCCATTTCACAGATGAAGGAACTGAGGCTGGGTGAAGTGATTTGTCAGACGTCATACTATGGTAAGTAGCAGAAGTGTCCTGACCACACCCACGTGGCCTGAGAAAGATGAGAGAGGGCATCATCCTTCTTACCCATCTTCCATCCTTGTCTAAAGGTGGGTTGAAGCGTCTCCCTTTGGCCATTTTCTGCAGGAAGCTGAAGGGGGCTGAGGTTGGCTCTCTTATCCCTCCATCGCCTCATGAGTTCTACACCTGGGAAGACACTCCTCCTTGCTCCTGACCTTTAATTCTCAGCCTCTACCAGGAGGGGAAGTCCAGGAGTGGTCCCTGTTGTCACAGCATCAGAGCCCACCCATCACAATGGGGGAGGAGTGCGAGTCTTCCAAGCCCCCCAAGGGCTCCTGCCTCGGGTCCCTTGCAGCTGCCACTCCCCAGTGTGTAAGCCTCCAGGTCCCAGGTGAGAAAGCCATACACACAGATCACACAGCTGTGGACCAGACAGTCTTGAGACAATGGACAACTCTGTACCCTCCAAATCCTCTGATGACTTCTGAGTTGAATATCCTCATGATAACCATCTATTCCAACCTCTTAGTTTTCAGAGAAGTTGACTCTGCCTTGTCTACACCCAGCCAGGACTCAGGCCTCCCCACGTGCTCCTTTCCTGGCTGCCTGAACGTCCCAGCTCACTCACTGTGACTCCCCTACTGCACACTGCTGAGGCCACGAGGAAGCAGCAATCATGAGTAGTTATTAAATACCGGGTGCTGTGCGGAGCGCTTTCACGTGTTTTACTTTTTCTCCATAAACCTTTGGGGTTTACAAATGAGGAAACAGAGCCACGTACCCAGTGGAGGGGACGCCGGGTCATGGGACAGCTCCAGGGCTCGCAAGCCTTTCAAGGGCCACCTGGCGTCCCCCAAGCTGCAGAGGTGGCTCCTGAGAGCTGACCTTCCTCTTGGGGCCCGGACACTCAAGTCCTACCTCACTTCTACTCAGTTACGTGATTTCTGCTTTTCTTTCCCCTCCTCCCTCCGTCCCTCCCTCCCTCCCTCCCTCCTTCCTTCCCTGCATACATACATGCATACATACGTACATGCATACATACAGAACAGGGTGTTGCGGTACACGGGCCTCTCACTGTTGTGGCCTCTCCCGTTGCGGAGCACAGGCTCCGGACGCGCAGGCTCAGTGGCCATGGCTCACGGGCCCAGCTGCCCGTGGCATGTGGGATCTTCCCGGACCGGGACACAAACCCCTATCCCCTGCATTGGCAGGCGGACTCTCAACCACTGCGCCACCAGGGAGGCCCCTTCCTTCCTTTTTAAAATTCTGTGTCTTGACAATTCTCTTGGCTACTCCATGTGAAAATAAGAATAAACACCAAAGGGAGAATTTGTCCAACTCTCTGTTTTTTGCTAAGAAATTGTGTCCTCAATACCCTCTTCCCCTAATCATCAACGAGGGTGTCCTAACAAGAGTTGCCGTGTTAGTGATATGGGACCTCTCCTCTGGCCAGCACCGACGGCCCAGAGAGCTGTGTTCCTGGATGAGATGCCTGAGGTGGAACACAGACTGAAACTGAGCAGGTGTTAGTAACCATCTCCACTTACAGATGAGGAAAGGGAGTCTCAGAGAGGTGGAGGGACGCACCCATAGTCACACAGCTAATTTGTAGCAAAGTCCAAACTAGAACCCAGATGTACTGAGGCCGATTTCAATGCCAGCATCAAACAGGATTCGTTTCACTGCACTTCCCTGACCACATTAAATTACTGGGCAGTGAATTTTCTAGGATTGCTTTTTTTTTTTTTTTTTCTTGCGTTATGCGGGCCTCTCACTGTTGTGGCCTCTCCCATTTGCGGAGCACAGGCTCCGGACGCGCAGGCTCAGCAGCCGCTCCGCGGCATGTGGGATCCTCCCGAAACGGGGCACGAACCCGCGTCTCCTGCATCGGCAGGCGGACTCTCAAGCACTGCGCCACCAGGGAAGCCCTCTAGGATTGCTTTTAACTCCCTTTCTTTAATCTGCATGAAACTGGGCCTCTTAGCCATGATCCCTCCTCACTGTGAGCTCTGGCAGGCCAGGGGTCAAATGACTGCCATCATGTGCTCCTCCGGTGGGGTGGCCCTCCCTCCCCAGTAGATGTCATGCCAGGGAGCTCTGCACAAATGGAGGGCAAGGATGAGTGCAGAATGCTGCTTCTCCCACATCAAGAGACTGAGAGTAAAGCAATAAGGAGGGAGGGAGCCGAAGACTGAGACTAAAGACCTAGAAACGGTGCCATTTCCAAACCACAGTATTTCACAGACATTCCCTTTGTCTCTACCGATGGAGCAGAAAATCCTTTAGATCTAAAATCCCATTTCTAAATATATTCTTCATCTCCTCTGTATTTGGTCTTATGCTCTATTAAACAAGGTATACAATCGCTGGTTAAGGTGTATTCCAATTTTCCCCTTTTGAACGATTGTTTAAAATTCTAAAAAATTTGTCCAAGAAAATCGAAAGCAAATAAAGAAAACCCGGCCAGGAAAAATGAAATTCCATTTTTCTGCAGCTAGGATTTCCTAGCTGCACATTGGGGTGGGGTTGTTCATTGTTGTTATTCCTTTCAGAGGTTTGAATTACTGAGCTGAACGTGGAGAACCATTCTGAAAACAAGTCCTGTAGCCCTCAGGGCACCGAGAACACCAGAGGGTGGAGCTCCATCCTGCTTTGGGTCTTTGCAGGAGCTGGGCCCTGCTCGGAATGCAGTGATGCAACACCGCCTGTTAAAGGTAGCTGTGAAGGCAGTGCTGAGACATGGGCGTGTTCATTCAACAAATACTGATGGGAACACCCACTATGTGCCAGCACTGTGTTCAAACAGTGGTAAGACAATCACCAAAATCAATTTTTCATAAGTAGTAAATCATGGATTTGCCAATACATCAGATGACCAGGACCCCCAATTATTGATTAACCAAAAACTATTTTCAGTGAGTTATCTACAACATTTGTATCTAATTGTTCCACCCAATGTATTTTTCGAAATGACAGCTGTTGTGTACTTTGACTTTTAGATCTCTTACATCCGAAGTGTTAAGGACCTTACGAAAAGCAGCTGTGCCTATCTCTTCCACGTGTTTTCAGTGCACTGTGCCATTCCTTGTTTTAATAAGCAATTTGCTCTCTTTGGTGGGATAGTGGTGGAACCACGGGTGTGTTTTCACACACGCATCGGCCACGTGCCCAGGTTTGCTGCCCGCACAACTCTCAGACCTGCACACACAGGCATGCTGCAGTTCATCATGCCACCAAAAGTTTTACCTCCACCTTCACGACCACAAATCCCGGACACCTTAACTTGCATATGGGAAAAGCCGAGCCATCTGCATGTAAAATGTTGAGCATCTGAGAAATTTTCAGGCATCTGAATTATAAAACACATTTTCTTTTCACCCTGCAAGGTAAACAAACTATCTGGATTCTTTCTGCAAATAGCAACAGAATTGAGGTGACTCAATTGTACGTTTTTATTATGGTTCATGATTCGTACGGAACTCATGGAAATTACAATGGATGCACAACCCATCTGCACATCATCTTGAAAAGTACTCAGGCATCTGTCACGTGAAGCACATTTTTTGTTTGTTTGCTTTATCCTACGTTGCAAACTATCTGGAAAATCAACTGCATCTCTCTCCCTTCCACTCAAGAAAACAATTCCTGGATCAAGACAAGTAAGACGAATTGAAAGACAAGAAGGAGAACTTGACCAACCTGGAAGTTTGTTCAGTTGAAAGGTAGAAACAGTAACATTTATAAAAACGCTTGACTCTGCTGACACGCATGAGTCGGTAAGGATGTGAGACGTTGCCCAGGTAATGACAATTTTTGATAACCTTGCTGAAACGTGAATTGCTATAAACTTTTCAAATCGTGTCTAGAGAAGCTTTTGGTTCATTGATAACTTGGAATATTGGTCACTCAAAAAATTGCTGCCATCTAGCAAACTGTACTGGACACAGTTAAGGTCACAGTAAATACTGTCACTGTCCTCATGAAGCTGGCTCTCTTGTGGGGAGACAGACATTACCACACAGATAATTGGTTATAGTTATGAGAGGTACTGGGTGCTCAAGACCATGTGACAGTGGGACCTGCACGAATCTGAAGGGTGACCAGGAAGGTGATGAAGAAATGAAGAATGACTTCAATGAACTGAAGGGAGCACGTGCCAGGTGGATGGAGAGCCCGTCAGAGGCCCTGATATTGGGTGGAGCTTGACTCACTCAGGAACCAAAAGGAGGTCAGAGGACGGCGCAGAGTGGAGATGATAGAGGAAAAAGCAGAAGGTGGGCCACTCAGGGCCTCCAGGCCATCCAAGAGCTGTGGACCGGCACCTTGCCCTTTGTGACCCTGACCAGCTGGCCAATGTCAGTAGCAGACAGAGACTTGAGGAACAGGTAACAACAACACACCAGTTGAGAACTTTTGCTTTTTTAGAAAAATCACCTTAGAAATAAGACTCACCCTTAAGATGCAGCAGGCGTGCCGAATTTATTCTTTCTCCAAATTCTGAAAAAGACAGGCGGAAATATTTAGTTGGATTTCCATTTCTCCACTGGATGCGTTTGTTATTCCTATTTTCACTTCTGTGTTTCCGTGTTTGTTGAGGTTTACATGAAGATGCGATGCTATTGTTTCCATCCCCTGGAAAGACAGCAGCTTTTGTCCTCTCGCAGTGTGAACGGGACAGTCCTCCGAAGACACAGAATAAAAGACAGCAGTAATTACAAGTGTGGTTCAGAACAGAGAGCGCTGGAATGGAAGATGCCAGCCTCCACAATCGTAAAGCAAAACAGCCAAATAGATATATATTTTTCAGCTGAAGAGGAAATGAACAGTGTCTTGGAACGTGATGGTAAGTTTGTCTCCATCCCACGCGGGGAGGAGAGAGAGGAGGTGAGGTCCCTCAGTGAAGAAGAGATCTGTAGGTCCTTTAAGATCCTCTCTCCTCTTACCGTGTACCATAAAACAGAACGGCGATTTCATCACCTTGGCAGCAAACTGTGAGCTAATAAAAGAGCCTTGTTACAAAGATAATAAGACAAAGTCCTACATGACGGACGTGGGCTGAGTCCTGATGTCAGACCCCGATTTCTCCAGCTCGACTGGGATCCGAGGTTCATCGGTTC